TCTGGAATTAAAAGTGAATGTCTGTTCACTTGCTTACTGGTTCAACCTATGCAGCTTAGACTAGCCTGTGGAGATTAAATTGATTCAGCCTTGGGCTTTTTTACTGTCTGTACTTAGCCAAAGAGTAATGTGTGTGTGTGTGTGTATGCGTCTGTACACATGGGTTTTTTTTATATGTCAAGGACACCTTAGATTCATTTTAAATGCTCCCTTATCTTAAAACCCTTGCTCTACTTTTGTTTCTTAACACTGCTTAGCTAATAATACATTCACCTATACTTTTTACAGTTTTGGGACTAACCTGATGTTTATTGCATTTAGCCCCATAACTTTGTTATCATATGTATTCTATAGGCCGTTTTATTTTTCTTAACCCCCTTTTGGGTGACACAACCTCAATAAAAGAGCACAATATCCGTTTGTCATCGCTGGATGTAATACATGAATAGCATTACGGTCAGAACCCTGCATCCGATTCTTCATTGCTTTCTCTCCTTCTGACCATGTCTCTTATTTCTTTGTGCTTAGTAGTGTAGGCTCAGCCCTGCCTGTCCTGCAGGCTGGTGGTTTGGGAACTTTCCTAGGGTGGAGGGAGATCTATGACTTGGAAACCAGTGCTCTCGTCTTGGGTGAGTGCCTTAACCACTAGGCTACTGGGCAAAAGTTAATAGGTTTTGGTGCTCACCTTTCACCTCCATTTTGTTGCCTAACACTAAGATGAAGGCACATAAAATTAGCTGTTTCTAGGGACTTAAGCTCTGGGATGCACACACTCTTTCACTATAAAGCAAATAGACATACTCCGTGAAAAAGCGGCACAAATTATTACTACTTTTCGCTTTGTGCCACATTAACAATTGTTATGGTAGCACACAAGCAATGTCTGTTTCTCACCTCAGTGACACTTAGATGGCTTAGAGGCAGAATAGTATCTGGGCTGAAGTATTAGTTCTATTTATAACTTTCACAAAGTATTTCCTACTACATGCTTGCATTGCAAAGCCAAAAAGAAACAAACTTCTTTTTTCTAATTCTACATTCCTCCTCTAGAGCTCCAGTTATCAGTCATGAATGCTCTGGGCTTTGAATTCAACCCTTCCAGATTACTTTAGTCTTCACATGGTTATTCTAATTCCTCTCCTCCCTGATTCTATCTTCACTCAAGCCTTTTTCCTGTTTCAGACCTTTCTAATCTGTCCCCATCACCATTATAGCTGGTTGTGGGAAATATTGATTGATTTTATACTTTTACAATAGTCCTTGGGGCTTAGTGAATCAAAATCCCATTTAAACATGTGGTTCTATAGATCCATTACAGAATTTTTAAATTAAATACAGATTGCCTGATTTAAAAGAATAATTGTGAATTCAGACAAGTCAATTTCAGGGGGAAAAAACAGTTTGCCAGCTGATGCAGCTTTGATAAATGCAATCCTTTGTTACTTGTTCAAGGGCAATTTGTATCCTGCTGATACTACTGACTAAGTTGCTGCACATACAATAAGTAAAGTTACTGTGCTACTTGAAAGGAGGGTTAAGCTGTCTTGTGCTTGTAATGTTTATTTCTTGACATTAAAAAAGGTCAAATGGACTTAAGCATGCGAATCATGAAGATTTCACACATGGGTTTGAATAACTACAATTCTTCCTGACATTTACTCTAACACCTAAAGCAACTGATGTTAAAATTATGTTGTAGGATCACAGCTAAGCATTTTAAATAGCCTTAGCCTTGCTCTTCTTTAAAACATAAAAAGCTGAATTATCTGGTCACCAGTTCCAAAGTATTTAGCACAAGTTATTCTGAAAGCATCATTTGAAACTATTACATATTTTAAAAAATGTCTATTTGCTGTCTGTTTCTTCTTTAAACATCAGCTTTTCATGTTACTCCCTGATCAAGATCACCTGAAAATATTTCAAGTGAATCTATTCTCCTCTTTGAATCTGACTACGGTAGATAGACGGTTATAAGACACCTATGGCACACGTGGACAATCTAATGACCTCCAGTAACAGGCTAAGCAACATTTAAAACCAAAACCACAAAACAAAACCTTACATCATTTATGTTTATTCCTGTCTTTGAACTAGAATGGAAATAAATTCTTTAGACTTGAAAGTATATCTTGAGATAAGGGAAAACAGAAGGCATTTGTCAAAGACTTGGGGCTTGTTTGTCAAAAGCACTTGTAATTTTCTAGGGGAACAGTTTTACAACTTATTTGGCCATTTCAGTAGCATTGGAGTGATTTTGTAGTAGTAATGGTCCAGGGCTTAGGTAAGAAGCAAGGATTTTTGTCAGTGATATCTTTTATTGAACCAACAGCATGGTTGGGATAAATTAGACATGAAGAATGCTTTGCATTCAAAAGCATCTGATCTGAGGGAAGAAGCAGGCATAACGATGATTAAAACCAGTGGGTAGGGCTATGAAATTGAAGAAAAGAGCAATTCCCAGGGGTAGCAGACAAACAATTAACATAAGCAGCGTGATTAATGGGAGATTAAGGCCTAGAAAAAGGGAGGAGGATCATTATTGTTGGCACTGGATTTATGACCCAGTCCTGATGCCTTGTTCCGGGCAGGCCCAAACCCTCAGACTGACCATGACTTCTTCCATTCAATAATAAGCAAATTTTATTGATGCACAGTAATAGCAGGCAGGAGTAATGCAGGCAAAACAAACAAAATACCCCCACCCCAATCCTACTTATCTACCAGTTTCAGGGTGGTACATCTCACCAGTACATAAGTGCCACACTGTGGTTCTTTCTTGAATGTCAGTTTCATAGTTTCGTAGTTGGTAGAGTTGGAAGGGACCTGAGCAGATCATCTAGTCTGACCCCTCTGCCATGGCAGGAAAGAGTACTGGGGTCAAATGACCCTGGCAAGGTGTTCATCCAGCCTCCTCTTAAAGACCCCCAGGGTAGGACCCAGCACCACTTCTCTTGGAAGTTGGTTCCAGATCCTAGCCACCGTGACAGTGAAGTAGCATCTCCTGATGTCTAGCCTGAATCTACCTTCTGCCAGCTCGTGACCATTATTTCTTGTCACTCCTGGTAGTGCTCAGGGGAACAGGGACTCCCCCAATGCCTGCTGGTCCCCCCTGACTAGTTTGTAGGGCCTGCCCTGCTGCCCCCGATCATGCAGGTGGCCCTCCTCTGGACCCTCTCCATGTTGTCCACATCCGTCCTGAAGTGTGGCACCCAGAACTGGATGCGGTACTCCAACTGCAGCCTGACCAGTGTCGCATAGACGGGGAGGATCACCTCTTTGGACCTGCTTGAGATGCAGATGTCTTGGCAGTTGAGGGCTGATGCTCACCCCTCCAGTGGGATGGGTAAGAGGGGCCAGTGGTGCACCCTCTGCCCATGCTAGGCTCAGGATCCCCCTGTTGCTCTGAAAATCCCTCCTTTTGTATTCTTTTCTTCCTGATGACTTCATTTCTGGGTATCGTTGATTTGGTTTCCCTGTGGTCATAATACTGTCCATGTTCTGTCCTGTCAACAGATTCCTTTGTTTCTCAAACATATCACATGCATACATCTTAATTAGGTAATTTGCCTGTGTCTTAATTTGGGCATCACTGGCATCCTGATTTGGTTCATTCACCAGAACCAGAAATCCCAGGGATTTTGCATCCAGTTACTGTGACCTGATGCTAATGCTGCAGGGTTCCTTATCTCTGTTATGGGTTTTGAAGGCATGTTTTCAATTTCCTAGCCTGTTTGTCTGCTAGCTTCAGACACAGTGGGTGCATCTATATAGGACATGTTATTGCACAGTTGCCTAGTTTACTATGCAGTAAGCACATGTGTCTAAATCAGCATTCCCTCTAATCTGTGCGGCACGTGCAGCCACGAAGGAGCACTCATGCCACGCTGCCAGATGCGTCTGCATGGCCATGCATGCCACACAGCTTAGACGGAATGGTGGTCTACATGTGTGCATTCTTACTGCACACTAAAGACCCTTAATTGTGATTAAATTTACTGGCAGGCAGCAAATTTAAGTTCAATTAGTAATGGTGCAATAACGACCTGTCAGCAAATTTGCTGCCAGGTCTGCCTAGCCACTAGGGGCCAGCCTGAAGCCAGTGAGAGGCCCTGGCCCTGAGTCCCACCCCCTCCCCCCGACATACACACAGAATGCAGGGAGGTAGGACTCGGTGCAAAACTTTCAGCAGTCCGTGCCCCTGCAGCTAGGTGGACATGGGCCTCTCGCATCTCAAGAAAGGTGTCGATGCTGGTGGTGATGTCTTTCTCAGCTGTGGGGAGCAGGAACATGTAGTGCTGCCACAGTTAGCCCTCCAGGCAGTGGTGGAGGTTGTGGGGCAGCCCAGGCCTGCCCCCCCTCACACCATCATAACTCATGGTCCCATACCAGGAGCGCAGGTGTACCCAGAGCACTATGAGGATCATCAGCAGCAGGGGATAGTCGTTCAGGAACCCCTCAGCCTACACAAACAGTTCATCATGCACCACCTGGGGCACACACAATGGGGGCACACTTGGAGTGCAGTGGTAGAATGGGGGGGATGGCCCTGGGGCTTCTCCCCAGAGAGGCCCCCAGTGGGGAGGGCAGGGGTGCAGAGAGCTCCTCATCCCAGTTGTCTGACAACCTCACATACACCAAGCCTGGGTGCTGTGGGCTGGGCAGCAGCACAACAGAGCAGGTGTCCTGCAGGGGAATGCGGGAGGAGCAGGGTCTGGAACTGTGGCAGCAGGTGCTGCCAGAATCTTGGCCTATTCTGCCCTGGGAATAGGTTGGGAGGGGGGGCACGCTGCCTGTGATCAGCACCAGGGTAGTGTGCAGGGATGCAGGGCTTGGCCAGCCTGGGCCCAGGCCTGCCTCCCTGACTTACCATGGTCCCTGGGCACCCGTGCACAGCTGACTCCCAATGTGAGGCCATGCAGTGCATGGCTCTTGGTGCAGAGTATCTTCTCTCTGAAACATTGCAGACTCTCACAAAAGGCTTCTGTCTCATGGCTCTGCAGGTCCAGCATTTGGATGTGGGAGAGAGGCTGTAGGGGCCAGTAGGGATGCCATTGCCCACCACCAGGGCACTCTGAATGCACCAGCTGCACCAGAGGTGCACCATGGACAGGACCATCCTCCTCCAGTGGCTGGTAGCAGTGGCCAAGAAGCAGGAGGAGACCACATGGGCCTGGTGGGAGTATGTCTTGGCATGGGAGGAGAGGTAGCAGGAGGAGGACTTGGCTCACCAGGACAGGTGGTGAATGGAAGACATCACCGGGGAGGAGGTGTTCTGGGCTGAGCTCCTGGCCCTGGAGCAGGAGTGGATCCAGGTCCTGAGGAACCAAAATACTATCCTGGACTGGGCCATACACACCATGGATGACAACTGCCAGACCCTCAACACCATCCCGGACCTGGCAGTCCTTTTTGTGCCCACTGCTGCCCAGCCCCCATCCTTAACCCTGCAGGCATCCTGGCAGCCACCTGTTTTGCTGCAGCAGGCTTCCATCTAGGCCTGGGTGGAGGTCCTCTGTTGCCTCCCACTGCCAGGAGCCCCTGGTCTGGACCCTTCCATGGGTCCATTTCCACCTGCCTGGACCCAGGACTGCCACTGATCCCAGCTCCATGCAGGTATGAAGCCAGAGCTGCCTGGAGCAGTGCCAGGACTGGATCTTGGTCCTGCTGGGCCTGGACTCTGCCAGCCAGAAGGGGAGCTGAGCCACCTATGTCAGAGGCAAACCAGGTGCTGTCACCCCTGGGCAAGCCCCCCACCTACTGCAGTCACCAGTGTGAGGACCCACAGGGGAACAGACAGAGGCCAGGGTGGTAGCTGCCTGTCCCTGGGCTCTGCCACAAAAAAAAAGAACACTTTGTATATAGTTTTCATTGGGAAGATTTTTTTTTTAATGTATATGGCTGGGGTGGATGGTGGAGGGGCTCTTTTTGTTGGGGAGTGGGGTTCTGTGTGTTGGGGAGGAACAGGGGAGGAGGTCTGTTGGATGCGAGGAAATTAAAGACTTGTTCTTCTAAGATGTGTCTGCAGTGAGTGTGGTACAAGGGGCAGGTGGTAGGGTGGAGGGGCCTGTGGGCAGCAATGCAGGTGGGCCAGAGTCGGGAGTGCAGGAGAGGTGGTCAGCCAGGGCCTCCCACACCTGGTGCACTGGAACGCATTGGTGGGTGCGTGGCTCTTCTGGGGTCTGGGTAGGGAGTCCCAGCAAGGTAACTGGCCAGTCTCCTCTTGAAGATTTCCAGGGTAGGCAATTGCACCAGCTCTGGACAGAGCTTATTCTACAGTCTGGACACCCTAGCTGTGAAGAAGTTTTTCCTGATGTTGAGCCTAAAATGGTCTTCTAGGAGTTTGTGGCTATTACTCTTGGCTTTCCCCAAGGGTGCTCTGGTGAACAGTTGTTCACTGAGCCCTTGATGTACACCCCTGATGTAGTGGTAAGCTGCTACCAAGTCCCCTCTCAGCCTTTACTTTTTCAGGCTGAAGAGTCCCAGGTCCTTATTTCTTTATCTTATGTAAATATATATCTAAATAAAGGTCTAATAATTCTTGGATCCTGCTAAGCTCTACATATGAAAGATACCCTCTAGCAGCTAGTTCAATTAATTAATTATACATTGTGAATGCAAAGCACCCCTTTGATCCATTTTTATTTTATTTTTTTGCCTTTCACTGAATATCTCTTTGTACTATGAGATGATGAATAAAAATTCCTCCCTGACTTTTCTCTACCATTTTATACATTTTACTGAAATCTCCTCTTTGTTTCCTTTCTATATATTTTTAATCTTGAAAAGACACTTGATATGACCACCTCCCTCCCCCTAAAATTACCTTCCCCAAATTCCATTTGAAATGTTTCTGCTTCTGCAAAATCATTTTTGAGATATAGTAGTCAGAACTGAAATAATTTATATAACAGCATTTTGGTATATTGGGTATTGTTTTTCTGTCTGAGTATTTACACACTAACATTGTGCTTTCTTCATTGGACCACTGTTTCTCCCTGAAGAGGTTTACCCAAGATGGCCATATAATACCCACATCTTCCCTGTATATATAACTGGAGCTAACTTAGATCCTATCTCTACTTGATTCCACGTGTCAATCAAGTAGTAAAATGCATCCTACAGCAGTTTGGTGTCTATTATATTTTGATTCTGCAAAAGTGTGCCCACATTTGAGGATTTGATATTGTGGGTGCAAAAATGAGAATATGAGTACTACACATTATAAAACTGAGCCACTTCACTTCTGTTTTCATCCTGGTAGGCAAAGAGCTATGCAAAGCTCTCCATAACCTTTCCAGAAGTCTGTAATAAATATGCTTAGAATTCCATAATTCACAAGGTCAGGTGTTAGCAGATGTATCATGTAGAACAGTCTGAGCTTCATTTATGTTTCAGGAAGAGAGAACCTGAGGAAGAGATCCAGGAGAGCTGCAAATAAATTTTCTTGGTATTAAATGTACACAGTGCATCTGGAGATTTCATTGCTAAGACTACAGAACTCTACTTGTGTGACAAGCTGCACAACTCTACTTTTGTGACTTGCTGGTACCAGACAAGGTAACTTTCTAGTAATTTCAAAAGCAATGAAGTATGTGCTTCAGCTGTCTAGAGCATGAGATATTTTGAAGAATCAAAGGGGATGTTAAAACAATTAATCTACTAATATTAAAATAATTAACAGATTAAAAGGCAAAAATGAGGCATAGGAATAAATAGTAGGAGACGGATGTGAATTGCCCCAGTGTCAGCCTTCTCCTCAGCAATATAAAAAGAAAGATAATGCAACAAAAGCAAAAATACAATATATGTAGCGCATAAATGCTCAGACAATATTTAGTTCCAGATGGCTTTTTAATTTTTTTGTTTTGTTTTAAAGGCAGACAAACCCAACCACTTTGGGCCTATTCAAACTGTAAGGTTAATAAGGGCTACAAAGGACCACTAAATAGAAGAAAGACAATAGAGATACTTTGTTTAATGGATGCTATTCACAGATTCCTTTGATGTTAAGACTGGAGTTAAGCAAGGCTGTGTCATTGCTCCAATACTCTTCTCGATATTCCTTACCACAATGCTACATCTGACCACCCACATGCTTCCAGTTGTGGGTGGAGCTAAACTACTGAATGGACGGTAAGCTATTTAATCTCAGCTGACTCTGAGCCAAAACCAAGGCTACCCCAACCTCAATCATCGAGTTCCAGTACACTGATGATGCTGTAGTGTGTGGTCACCCAGAAGCAGATCTTCAGGCAATTGTTGATGTCTTTACCAAGGCATACAAGAAAATGGGACCGATATCTACCATTCAGAAGACTAAGGACCTCCATCAACAAGCTCTTAATGAGCAGTTTCCAGTTCTGGCAATTCAATTTTATGGTGAGACTCTGGAGAATGATGAGTATTTCTAGAAGACTGATATTAATAAAGGAATCCAACATCAACTTAAATATGCAAGTGCAGCCTTTGGGCACATGAGGAAACAGGTGTTTGAAGATCATGACATCAGATTTGAAATCAAGCTCATGTCATCTCAAGCAGTTGTGATCACTACCTTGTTGCACAGAGCTGAGAAATGGATAAGATACAGGAGATGCCTCAAGTTGCTGGAGAAATACTATCAATGCTGCTTGTAGAAGATCCATTGAATCCACTGTTAAGACAGATGAACTAGCATTAGCGTCATCTTGCAAGCAAACACCCTGACCATTGAAGCAAGGATCATCCAACATCAACCTCTCTAGGATAGCCACATCATCCAGATGTCTAACTCCAGGCTTCTGAAGCAAGTTTTATTCTCCCAGCTCAGTCAAGGTGTACGCTCAAGAAGAGGGCAGAGAAAGCACTTCAAGGATATCCTCAAGGCCAACTTGGAAAAAATGCAACATCAACATTAAATCATGGGAGAATGTTGCTCAAGGCTGCCCAAGATGGAAGAAGAGTCTGTTTCAAGTGTAGCAGGCTTGACTTTTGGAGCTTGGGTTGAGTCCCAGGCATGAAATTTTGCTGTTTTGATTGGTGGAGCCTATCCACCAATCAGGAGACAGCAAGAGGAATGAAGTCATGCCCCTTTCCTGAGGGGAGAGGGAGAGGGGTTCTCCTCCTCCCCCCCGCAGACCTGATTCAAGACTGCAACAGTCAGGTTCAGAAGATTTCAGGGGCGGAGCCCTGGAGAGTATAAAAGGAGCTGTATACCCAGCATAAGAGAATACATCTCGGACAGAGAAGAGAAGAGCGGGGCTTAGAAGAACTGAGGAGAGCTGCTCAGCAGGGTGAAGCAGGATCCCAGAAGTGCCCCTGAAGACTTCCATCAATGGGGAATGGCAGACGGATCCAGCAGCTAGGCTCTTGGTGTGCAGCATGGTGCACGGTGTCCAGACCCTGGGAGCTGTGTGAGGTGGCTTGGGTATACAACCTCTGGTGTGTGGCCAGAGACACGGTGCACAGGCCAGTACATGGAATAGGATCTTTGGAGTGCTTGGATGGCTCAGGTCCTCAACCCCCTGAATGAGGCTGGGAGCTCAGTGCAGGAGGCACTGCATGGAGGGTCTAGGAGCGGACCGTGTCTGGTGCTGCATGAGGCAGCCCAGGCCTCTGACCCATAGCAAAAGGTTGAGTCCAGGGAGCCAGATGGTACTTGGGCTTCTGAGCTAGGAGACAGGGCTGAGCCAGAGGCCCCAGAAGCCCTGCATAGCGGAGCCCTGTTCCAGGGGACAGTGACCCCCGAAGCCCACAGCAGGCGAGAGCAGCTTGGCGCAGAGGATAAGAGCCACCTTCCAGGCCTGGGAGCCATGAGTTGCAGGGAAAAGAGAATTCCTACATGGGAGGGAGAGTCCCCTCTGGTTAGTTAAGGGCTTCTGAAAGTGGAGGTCCCACCGGGAGGGCCCCCCTAAAGTTACCAGCTTCCTTGTAGGGCTTGGGGAAAGCCCAAGGGCATTGGCGTTTCCCCTTGGGATTAAGTTTATCTTTGGGGTTCTTGCACCATAAGTGGTGTGATGGGATGCCTTATATTTTGTGAATTCTCATGTTTGTAAATTAGTAGATGAGTCAAGTCTTAGGGCTCTGCTGGGACCCCCTGTTGCTATTATTTCACCTGTTGTTTACTTGTATTTATTTGTGGCTTATTTATTGTTCACCCATACTTAT